ACAAATGGACCTGACCCAAAAGCATTTGCTTGGCAAACAGGCATAGCCAGCTGGGAAAATGCAGCTACCTGCTCTAACTATATCCTGTTCTGACTAATCTAATTCATCTTCTCGGGTTTAGAAGCAAGAAAGTATGTGCAGTTACATTCATTTCTGGAACTTCTAGAGATTACAGTGAAGAGTCTCAGAATTACATTGTGTTTATCAAGCCTCAGGACCTGAAATGAAGATAGGTAAAATACATTTCAACCTATATACAGTCTTTCTCTGCTGATGGTTGTGTTCTTAGAAACACAGTCCGAGGATAGCATTAAGAAAATGATATACTTTGGCTCAAAATTAAAATGAAATTTTAATCAGTCGGACAAAACAAATGCTGTGATACAGTAAATTCATCTCCATAATAAAGACAAAAGTAGATGAAGCAGCAGTGGCTAGACAGCACATCTTCCATCTGGGTCATTAGGAGACATAAAGGAGAGGTTAAGATGGCTCAGCTGTTAAGAGCACTGGCTACTCTTTCAGAGGACTGGGTTCAGTTCCCAGCACCCACATGTCACCCAGCCAACAACTGTCACCCTTTTCTGATTCCATGGGCATTGCACACCATGGGTGCACTTACATGCATGCAGGCAACACATTCATACACATAAAAAAATAAAAATAGTATTTTTTAAAAGGAGGGGTTGAGCATGTGAATAGATGTATACATACACACACACACACACACACACAGCTGTGGTGTTACAGCTTTAAGGAAGGGAGCTAATCAGTTGACTTTACTCTGGTGGTGAAAGGACATGATATACAGCTATCGTCTTGGAAAGGAAATAATCTTAGAGTAAAAGAGAACAAGCAGAAGATTCAGACAGCTTATGAACTGTGCTAAACTCAAGAAATTATGAAAGTTACAAGATTCACAACCCATTCCCATGGTTATGAAAGCAGTAAACCGCGGCTGGAGAAAGGAGACTCTGGCAGGCAGAGCGAGGAGATCCAGGGACATAGCTTTTGTGAGTCATCACCCATGCTGCAGGGGACTTCTCAGTGATGCAGCTGCCTTTGAATCATCCAGGCTCCTGTAAGTAGCTCTTCGCCCACACTCGTGAAAGTAGCCCCAATAAACTCACTAGCTCACTAAATTAGGCTTAGGTGTAATTGTTCCTTTGATCTGTTATAGGTGCCCAATTTGAGATTAGTAGACATTTGTTCACATCTCCTCACAAAGACTCACACAACAGAACGTGTTAAACGACAAGGCAGCATTTGTGATGTTACAGTTAACCCCTTGGATTGATGCCTTCAGACAGGCACAAGTCTCTCAAATTTTCTGAGATGTTAAAGATGAAGAAGCTTTCCTCCAGTTCCAGAGCCATGTGCCCTGCATTGGCTGCATTGTTCAAATGAAAGCATCTCCAGGCTAGTGCTCTAGCCCGAGGCCTGTGAGGCAACCATAGCTCAGTGGCTAATGCCATCTCACTTTTCCTTGGTCCTTATGTCAAAAAGGGGAAGCAGGAGTCAAGCATGATCGTGTGCTGCTCATGGGCTGCCTACACAGTTAAGCGTGACTGAAACCCCTTTCTGCCCATATCTGACTTGTGCTTTGTTAGCTGCTGACCTTGACTGTCTGCTAGCTATTAGCCTTGGCTGGTGTTGCCAAGGTCAACCTTGCAGGTGTCTTGCTGACTGTTAATTAAACTCTATTTCTCTTGGTCCTCACATTTGCATGACCAGCTTAACGCTTTACTATGGCAAGAGAGTTAACTCTTATCACAGCTACCAAGATGTAGCTTCAGTCTTTCTTCGCTTCCTCATATTTAGCACTTTGTCTATGGGGGTGGTCTGGGGTGATCCCCTAGGTGGGAGCCATCCTTACTTACAATTTAGCCTGTTACAATAGCTTGCATTAGAGGGAAGGCTGTAGGAAAGGACAACAGTACCTTACATCTGTCTTTCAAGGGCTTGGGGATTGGGGCAGGAAGGCAAGCCAGTCTGCTATCACCAGCCCAGATCCCTGTCCCCTCTTTTTTCAACTAGCTTAGCTATCTCATTCCATCTCCAAGCCTTCTTACTCATCTCCCTCAGAGCTCTGGACTTTGCTGCCTTAGCCTTTAATCTCTCTGTTAACCCGAAAGTTCATTCTCACCATGACATCTGTGAGGCGCTGCAGCTTTCACATAGGTCGTTTCCCCTCCATTACAACCTACTGATACTAGCTCCTGCGTCCCTACTACCGTCTACCTGCTTTTGCACATGTAATGATTCATTTAATTGTCACAACAACCCTTTAGAAAAAGTTTACAAGTATCAAGTCTTGGTGAGGATGTGGAGGAAGTCGAACCTTCATGATGGGACTGTAAAATGGCACAACCACTTTGGAAAATAATATAGTAATTTCGTAAAAAGTTAAACATATATCTACCATATGATCCAAACACTGCACTTTATCCAACAAAGACGAAAGGAAATGTACAGGCATATCTTGCACAAAAATATTCATAGCAACTCTCTTGATAATAGGTTGAAACTAAACATAATGTAAGTGACCATCAACTGAAGACTGGAAAAGAAATTGCAGTTCATCGACATATGATATAATACATTTAGTAATAAAAATGAAACTATTAACAGTACACAGGCCATGAATGAATATCAAAATGATTACACTGCAGAAAAGAAGGCAAACACCAGGTGTGGCAGCACACATCTTTAATCCAGCACTCAGGAGGCAGAGGCAGGTGGATCTCTGTAAGATCCAAGCCACCTGAAGCTACAGGGGAAGACCCTGTCTCAAAAGACCAAAAACGACAACAATAACAACGAAGCAGACAAAAAAGGAGTACATACTGTAATTCACTTACATAAAACTTTAGCTGGTGCAGATGAATACATACCAACAGGAGGCAGAACAGTGCTTGCTTAGGTGTAGAAGGCAAGAAGGAAGAAACTTATTTTTTAAATGTTTTTTGAATTTTTGTGACTTTCGTACAATATTTTGATCATATTTAGACCCCCTTCCCTATCTGCACCCCTCTTATTGCACCCCCATCTGATTTCATGTGTTCTGTCATATATATTTCAAGGTCTAGCAAGTCAAATTTGTGTCCCCAAATGCCCTTCAGCGTGGGTCCATCCACTGGAGCCTAGTTAACCTAACTAGTGTCACACCCTCAAAGAAAACTGACTCTCTCTTTCCCAGCAGCTATGGGTTGCCAGTAGTTAGGAGGAAGAAATTACAAAGGGCAAAAGAATAGCTGAGGGCAATGAGCATGTTCACTTGTGGCTTCACACAAGTATACATATGTTAAAACTTGCCAAATTATGCATTCTAATCGTGCTCCAAATGTCAATCATACATCAATGATGCTATGATTTTTAGTCTTCAATTTGGTCGTCAGATTATGAGAGCTGAAGGCAGCAGAATAGGAATTTGTTAAAAGCCAAGGAAATATGCAAGGAATCCATACTTCCTCTACCCAGCAGAGCCTCCCCAGACTTCAAGGATACATACTGCTAATCTCCACCCGCTACCACCACTGTCTGTTTACAAGAAGAGAATGAACTTGTTCATATAAAATGAATTCTGTGTCTTGGAAGAGATTGTGAGTTAAACACATGATTCACATTTACAAATATTTTAATGAGTTTTCTTTTAGTAAGCTTAACATCATATGAACTTTTTTGCCTGTGAATTCCAACACGTGAACTTGTTTTCTTTCAAAAGTTCGGTAATTCTCATCTATAAAATGCTATAAGAGGGCTGGAGAGATGGCTCGGCGGTTAAGAACACTGGTTGTTCTTTCAGAAGACCTGGGTTCGAATCCCAGCACCCACATGGCAGCTAACAACTGTCCGTAACTCCAGCTCTAAGGCACCCGACAGCCTCTTCTGTCCTCCGCAAGCATTGCACGACATGGGTGCACTTACCTACATGCAGGCAATACACGCATACACATAAAATAAATATAATAAATAAAATATTTTTAAAATACAATAAGAAATTAGGAAAGCCAGAAAATTAAAAAGAATTAGATTTACAGGCTGTTAGTCATTCTTTTTTGAGCAAAGCTATCTTTTTCCCTCCCGCTACTCAGAAGGACCTCTGTTTCTTCTCTCCATCAGCAGTAAAGCTTCGCTCCCAGACTCCACGCCTCAATGTAGACGTTCACGAGGAAGGTCTTTGCACAGCCTTAGCTAAACATTTCATTGTTCAAAAAGGCATCCAACTTTCTTAGACCTTAGCCTATGAGAACTGCACTCATCTAATGCACTGTTCTTCAGCTCTCCAAATCAGCAGTCCTGTATTCCAGAGTTTGGATCCCACTTTACATTGTTCAAAGACTGGAAGGAATATTCTCAGCAATATCTCCATTTCTAATAGAGAGTCGAGGACTGTACTCTCCAGGTACAGAGCCATGAGGGGGCTTTGATTCTTTGAAATTTAAAAAAGATACTAATGAACATTAACAGTGGTTAAGCCCACAAACTCTAACATTAAGTATCTGTAACTTCAGTGTCTGTCATTTGCTGTGTGGAAACTTATCTTCAAAACTAACACTACAATAGGGCTAAAGCTATCTTTTTTTTTTAATGGCACAATACAGTTGCTAATCCTGAACACTTAGTATTTAACACACCAATTCAACTTTCGTCATATACATACATACATATCCTTTAGTCAGTATCTTACATAGTCGTAAGTTACTGAGAAAATACAGCTTTCTCCTTCTGAGTTCCAAGGATTCCAGAAGGCCTAGAATCAAAGTAAAATCAAGTCCTAAAATGGTACAAACCTCAAAAGGCCAATCGTGATGCCCTGTACAGCTGGCCTCCACCGAAACCCAGCCCACTTCCGGCTGCCCCACCCACCCTCTCACGCTGGAGCCCCGCCCCCTCCATGAGGCCCCGCCCTCCCACGCCCAGTCCTGGTTCCCATTGGGCAAGCCCGGATGCTGTACACATGGCCGACATTCTCACGTTGGGCAGGGGCGTCTTCGCGCCTGCGCAGCAGCGCCTTCGGGCGGCTGGCCCCTGGGGTCGGGGAAGGGGCGGAGGTCGGGCGGAATCTTGTTCCGTAATAAGCGCCGCGCCCCGCGGTCCTGACTGCGTGCGGGTCGGGCCTGGGCGCTGGAGCTGCTGTGGCTCCCGCCGCAGCGGGGGCGATGGAGGCCGTGCCGGAGCCCCGCACTCCCGCCGGGGGAGGCCGCGACAGCTGGCGGTGCTGTTAGATGCGGCGGCGGCGGCGACGTCGGCGTCCCGGGCTCTCCATGAGCAAGCGGCGGCGGCGACGGGTGCGGCGGCACCGGCGGTCTTCGGTCCCCCGGGAGGTACGAGGCGTCGGCCCCGGCCTCCGTCGGTCGCCGGCGCTCGCGAGATGCCAGGCCGGGGTGGGCGTGGCGGGCGTGCAGTAGGTACCACCGCACCCCGGGGCCCTTCCCCGCGCCCCGCTGCCTCGCGGACGCTCGTGGGGCGCCGATCCTAGGGGGGACTGGGAACCCTGAGCCCTTAGGAGACGCGGCATGCGCTTCCCGCGACAGGTGGTCTGATCCTCCCCGCCGGGGCGGGGCTCTCTCTGCGACCCTTGGAGATGGCCGGTGGCACAGGAAAGCTGTCATTTTCCTGGGGAAACAGAGGTTGGGAAATTTTCCAGGCTTATTCAAACTGAAGGCTCTGGGGTGGCGGCAGATAAACGCTTCCAGTTCTTTGCCCAGCCTTTCTGACGATGCGCAGAAATTCGGCAATTTTAGTAACACTCTTTGCAGATCCCTTTCCTTTTTCCTTTTTAAATGTTTACTGTTAATTTACATTTGAACAGAAGGCTAAGTTGTTGAAATTAGATTTGTGTCCTCAAGATCCTCCAGGCTCTCCTCTGAAGAAGTTAGGTTCATGCCCCCTTGCAGTCTAATAGTTGCAGAGCATAACGATTGCTTTACGCAACTGTAGTTACTCTCCGTTTGGTCGTATCCAAGAGATAATTTGAAGAGAAATACTAAGGATTTACTCTTCCTTTCCAGTATAGCATTTGGGATTCCAAATCAAAGCTCTGTAACAGCCCTAAACCTTGCTGCATAGTTCTTTAGAATTTAGCAGTTACAATTCAGATCAAGTTTTTATTGTCTTAAAAATGTTTGAATTTTTAAAAAATACGTTTTTTTTTAACTCAAGACGAAATGGGTCAGTTTTTATTAAGAAATGAATTTTTTTTTCCTTAGCTTCAGATTTGCCACACCCTCTTATTTCTAAGTAATTGATGTGTTAGCAGACTATATATAAACATCTGTATTTCAAACTAAATATAGTGCTGGATAATTTAGAGTCTGTAATATCTTGTCTCAAGTGGGAAGCAGTGTACATGTGTTTAATGTAGACCTGAATTTGCTAGTACTGCAAAATAGTTTTTAACTTAATTTTGCACACAAAGTTCAGGTCTACAGTGTTACAGAGAGTTGGGTTTGTGTTGTGTTTTGGAAGATGTGACACTTGAAAAGATGGTCAAAGTAGGAGACTGACCTTAATCATTTCTTTCTCTGTGTTTACTGCTCAAATGCATCCCTTTTTCGTAAAAATAAACTTTTCTGTAAAAGTAATGGAAAACAGTGTTGTAATTTATAGTTATTTGCCCCAAGCAAAGTGAAGCAAATTACAAAAGTTCCAATAGGAACCATTTTTTAAAATTGCTTATGTAACATACATACAACACGAACACATTACTGTTAGTTACTTTAAAAACTAAAGTGTTAGCCCGGCCTGGTGGTGCACGCCTTTAATCCCAGCACTCGGGAGGCAGAGGCAGTCCGATCTCTGTGAGTTTGAGACCAGCCTGGCCTACATAGTGAGTTCCAGGACGGTTGGGGCTACAGGGAGACCCTGTCTCAAAAAGACAAAAAAAAGTGTTTAGCCGACCTGGTTAGGTAGCAGTTTAAAAGGGTCGAACCCTTCAGCTTATTCTAAAACATGCAGAGGGGAGTCGGGTTATTAATTTTTGAATCAAAGCTTTAAAAATGAGGTAACTAAAACAATTCTAAGCTACAAATAAGTCAGAGTGAAGAGAAACACTTGCTATACTACTATTTGAAATGTTTGTAGTTATTTGTCAATTGTTGTCTTTCAGAAGTAAATGCCAGAATTAGCCATCATCTGTAGCAACTGGTTATTACATAGGTGTTTTAAATATAATTTATAGTATAATTAATATAAAGACCCACTTAATGGCTATTGTCCTGTACTTGAAAATTAAGGTCTCATTATTTCAGTTTCTAAAGTGGAACCACCTACATAACAACGATCTGAAGCACAGCTTGTATTGGGGAAGAAGAGGAGGTTTACATTAAGAATAAGACTAATTACATTTAACTTGTATCTTTATTTTTATTAGCATGTGTTAATTTTACAAAAAGGTTTCATCATGACATTTCCATAAGTTTATATATTTAAATAACTTCATTTTATTTAGGATTTATTACAGTTTTCTATATCATGGATAAAAACTGTAATATAATTAATATTACATTAGATGGCCATTCTATACCTTTAAAAGATTTTGGGTTCTTTTTTGGAAAAAAATGCATTATTATTGTGTATGGTGCCTGATATGTGTGTGTGTGTGTGTGTGGCCGTGCATATCACAGTGTGTTTTGGAGATCAGAAGACAGCTTTATGAAGTCACTTCTTTCCTTCTACCTTAACGTAGGTTCAGGGGATCAAACTCAGGTCTCCAGGGTTGCATAGTTAAGTGCCTTCATCTGCTGAGCCATCTTGTTGGCCCAGTTTTCGAATTCTTTAATGATCTTTCCAGAGACCATGTATATTGCCCCCCAAAAAGGGCCTTAAATTTTTGTTGCTGTTGTATTAGGAGACCATCTAACAATTTAACTCTTTAAGTATATTTATTTTCATTTAAATATATCTCATGCATTTACATACTTTATTTTAAACTTAAAATGCAGGATGAAGACACTGTTTGAAGAGATCAAAGCATCAATTAAAAATAACTATAACCAAGATCGATCATTTTGGAGGCCTGTTCTTCCTTGGGGAGGGGTTTTTACTATCAAAGCTGGCCGCAAAGCAGTATCTTGTACCCCCCTCTATGTTGAAATAAGACTGAAAAACACCTGCACCATAGATGGATTCTTGATGTTACTGTATGTCATTCTTAACGAAAATGAAAGTTTCCCCAGGGAACTCTCTCTCCATTTTGGTAGGGAGTTTGTAGACTGTTTCCTTTATTTGATGGACACCTATAGTTTTACAACTGTGAAGCTGCTTTGGATTTGGGACAAGATGGAAAAACAGCAATACAAATCTGAAGTTCATAAAGCTTCGTTAATAATTGATTTGTTTGGGAATGAACATGATAATTTTACAAAAAATCTTGAAAATCTTATGTGTACCATTCAAGAGAGCTACTGTTCTAACTGGCGATGCCCAACTCGAGTGCAAGAAGATCAACAGCGCACAATTAGTATAAAGTAAGTTGCCCTCAATTCTGTTACTTTAGAAAAAGGGACCCAATAACTTCTTAGTAGCAAAAGAATAAATTGTCCAATATGCAAAGTAATTCTTCTTGGTCTGAGTTTACTAGGCAGTTCTTTATGCCCCAGATTTAACCTCTGAAAGCACACTTTGTATTTTTGAATGTTTACCTTTTGACTGCATCTCTATCAGGAAGGCTACTTGTACATGAACAAGAAAACTAAAAATACTCTTTCATGGCAAGGCCAGGGTGCATATATAGACAGACATTCCAAATTTGGCACCTCATATCTGGAGAGGATGTGACTGTGAGAAGCGCTTACATTAAGTGGAGAAGATGCTGGGGCCAACTGAGTGTTTTGGTTTTCAGAGAGAACATAGACCACCACACTGGTAAATGAGAGTGGGGAAGTGGCAAGACCTGGCAGCAGGATGGAAAACAGTGAAGCCAGGGAGCCCGAACTAGGAAAGGAATGATGCCAGTGGGTGGAAACAGCCAAACATTGTCGGGAAGGGAATTGGCCTCAGTCAAGGAAAACAATGGAAAAGACTGGATATGTACATTTGGAAATATACATTGTACATACTAATTAATTTATTCTCTGGATTATACTTTGTCTATTTTCCTATGTTGCTGATAAGATGGTATTGATTTTCTGGGGGAAAAGTTTTCTTACCCTGTGTCATAATGGAATAAAATGTTTCATACATTTATTTCTTAAAAATTAGTATCTTATAGCTGGGCCTTTAATCCCAGCCCTTGGGAGGCAGAGGCAGGCAGATCTCTGTGAGGTCTATCCCAGTCTGGTCTACATAGCATGTTCCAGACCAGCTGGGACTACAGGGAGATCCTGTCTCCAAAAAAAAAAATTTAATAACTATAATTAAATGTAATTCTACATAAATACTAATATTTTATACTTCTCACTTAAAATATTTTTCATCATACTCTAGAATATTTTAAAGCTTCTGCTTATTTTTTTTTACAATCTTTACTTTAAAACAATCTCTGAAGTTTGTACAGCCAAAATTTTTAACAGATGAGGCAACTGAAACCAGTTACTGTTGGGACTTGGCTTTACTCTGGTAACTAATTGGCTGTTGTCCTGATTCTGGATTCTAGTGTCTAATCATCAGAATTCAACTGTTGGGCCTCTTTTATTTTAATCTAAAGTAGCAGTGAGGCTGGAGAGATGGCTCAGCGGTTGAGAGCACTGACTGACTGTGCTTGCATAGTACCCAGGTTCAGTTCCCAGCACCCACATGGCAACTAACAACTGACGATAACTCCAGTTCCAGGGGATCAAAGCCCTCTTCTGCCTCTGTAGGCATTGCATAACACAAGTGCACTTATGTACATGCAGGGAAAAAAACCACTCATATACATAAAAAGGGGGGAGAAAGTAGCAACAACTACTTACACCAGGATCAATTTACCAAAAACTTTTATTTCTTATAAAACTTTATTGAGTTCAACTGACTTCTATCGTATCTGCCTAAAATTGAGTTTCTCAAGCATGCTGGTGTGTAACTGTTACACCTACATGCAGGAATTTGGTGCAGAATCACTGTGAGTTCGAGGCTAGTCCAGTCTACAGAGTGAAGCCCAGACTAGCCTGGGCTAAGAGTTACATCCTATCTTTAATTAAAAAAAAAAAAAAGATGGATTACAGAGATTGATTCTTGATATAGTTAGCTTTGCTAATAATGAACTAACATGTAGAATTTGTTATCCTAATGATAGACTGACCTGTAAAATGCTGAGACTTTCTTACTTACATTTGATATTACTGTAGTCCTCCCCAAGAAATTCCACATGGAAACTTGATACGACTGGCTGTGGATGAGTTGTTCTGTTCCAAGATTGAACTGTGTGAAGAGCGTGGGTGAGTAGACATGATGAATTAAGTATTTTTATTGTGTTTAAAAGGAACAGTGTACTAATGTGGTCTTTGAAGTTAATACAGTGTAAAGCAGCAATGTGTAAATATTTAGATACCCTAACAGCTTTTTGTTCTTACTAGTCTAGTTTAATATGTTATCTTATATTGTGCTTTGTTATCAAAATAACTATAAGATATGGAACTACTGCCAGTTGATGAATACAAAGCAAATGCCTTTTCTTTTTTTCCTTCATTGCTGAGTAGGTACAATAAAACCTTGGTTAACCGGAACCCAGCTAATCAGGACCCTCAATTAACTGGACTTTTTTCTGCATTCCTCATTTAGGAGAAAGGTAAATGACAACCAGAAAGTTCAACAGAATTAAAAACAACATCAAGAAGGGCATAATATATTTATTCCAATCTTGTAGCAGTTTCTCTGTCCACATGATTGTAAAATAGGAATTAATATTTAAAAGGATGGTCTTCCAAGCTACTTGATCACATAGAAGGAAAGATAAAATTGTATACACTAATTATTACAACAAATGAACTTACGTATTTTAGCAACAAGTACCAAGTTAGCTTAGTTTAGTAAAAAATGTTTGTCAACCAGAAAACTGTGCCCTGAGCATTCCGGTTAATCGAGATTTTACTGTATAGTTGTATTCTGTATACTTAATTACCTGATAATACTAAGAAAAGATTTGATTCATGCTAATAGAATATTCTAAATTGGAAAAAAGAAGCATTATTTTCCCCTTAGTCATTATTTGAAAGCACCTTAAAGAGAAAAATGTATCTATAAATAAAAACTATTGCCACAGTTCAACAGATTCATGCTTTTATAACGTTTAATAGAAATAGCTGGTTTTTTCAGGAGTGTTTAAAGTATCACTTCTAGTATAACAGACATACCCTGTAAATTTCCACAACTAGGTAAATAATGTGATAAAACAGCTGTGCCATGCCCATTAGCTGTAATAGAATAGCTCTACTTACTAGAAAATTAAAGACAATTCTAAAGTATTGAAAAGCAGTTGTGTCCCAAGAATAGTAACCTTCCTGCTCATTTTCTACTTTAGGTGTGGTGGTTTAAGAGAATTTTCCCAACGAGTTTTCTGCCACGGGGCACCTCCGTTTGTTGTGTTAAATATGCAGCACTGGAAGTCTGAAGACCTGGCGTATGTGCCCTATTACTTGGATTTATCTGATCACAAGTAGGTGCTGTTTTGGTTTGTATTTTGTTTGTTGTTTGGTTTGGTTTGCTTGTTTTGTAAAACTAGAAAATTCTAGTCCATTGTGATTTTGACTAGCTATTAAGAAGATATTAGCCAGATTTGGTGGCACACACTTTTAATCCCAGCACTCAGGAGGCAGAGGCAGTGGATCTCTGTGAGTTTGAGGCTAGCCTCTTCTACATATCAAGTTCCAGGACAGCAAGAGTTATGTAGTAAGACCTTGTCTCAAAAAAACAAAAGAAGATATTGTTGGGAAAAAAAAACAAAACATAGTTTTCTACATTTATGGACTCTGACTAGGATCGGAGTCTACTACAGGTCAGACAGCATGATGAGGTACTTAGATTATAAAACAGAAAAACTGAGTTTAGATCGTAGGTCTGCCTTTTACAAGCTGTATAACCTTGGACCATAACCACTGTACACATACATTTTCTTACCTATGAAACAGAAATGAGTTTCTACCTTGTACAATTGTTCTGAAAATTAAATAAAGATAGTGTGTGCTAAGTATTTAAAATAATGCCTGATACATAAGAAAGTAAATACTGGTTATTATTTGTACTTCAAGTTAAAGTAGTATATAGTAAATAAAAGTATTTGTATACAAACCAGGAAAAGGACATCTTTAACTTTTGTTTTTAAAGAGTTTTTTTATGACTGTTCGCTTCTTTTTAAGATAATAATATAGATTATGAGTATATATGATAATAGGAATTATTAAGTTCTTAAACTATGTCACTTAAACTTTGCTTAAGACAACTAGTATAGCACATGACCTCTTTGGATGGGTATCTTCACGGAACAGAAAGCAAACAGTCTCATTTTAATTCTCTGTTTTTTTATTATTTTTATTTTGTGTGTAAGTGTATTGCTTGCATATATGTAAGTTCACCCACATCCTGCAATTCCCATGGAGGTCAGAAGAGGGCATTAGATTCCCCTGGAACTGGAGGTATGAATGGTTGTTAGCTGCCATGTGGGTGCTGAGAATTGAACCTAGGTCCTCTAAGAGCAGTCACTTAACCGCTGAGCCATTTCTCCAGCCTCCTCATTTTAATTCTTAAGAATTTAAAGGGGGACTGAAACAATTTAAGAGCACTGGTTGCTCTTGCAGAGGACTGGGTTTGGTTCCCAGCACCCACATAATGGCTAACAACTGTTCATAACGCCATTCAGGGGGATCTGATACCCTCTTCTGGCCTCCATGGACATTGTACAACCTGGGTGCATTTACATGCGTGCAGGCAAAACACTCATATAACCAAAGAATTTAAAAGAATTTAAGGTGATCTGAGGAGATAGCTTAGTGGTAAAGTGCCTACTTCCAAGAGTTCCAAGATACCTGGGTTCAGTCCTCAGCCAGCACAAAAAAAAAGGGGGGGTGGGGAGAGAAGGAAGGAAAAATCAAGAATTTAAAGACTGTCTATCTTAAAAATAAAGCCTGATAATTTTCTGGTGGACTTTGCCATTTGGTTTGCAGGTATTTGCTGGAAGGTGCCACTTTATTCAACAAAGAGGAGCATCATTACTCTGCAGCTTTCCAGATTGACGGACATTGGATGCACTATGATGGCCTCAGAAATGTGAATTTAATTTTGTTAAATAAACCCCCAGAGTTTCTCCTCTTGTCATCATTGGTTTATATTCGAGCAACAGAGAAATAAATATAGACTGATGCTGAATTGAATTGTTCTCCCGCCTGCCCATGTTCCCCTAGAGAAAGGGCTTTGTTTTGTGTACACTTGGTATCCAAGGAAACAGTTCAACTATAGTAGTTTCAGCGATGTATTTTCCAGTGTTTTGCCCAGGTAAATGTTTTATAATAGAAGATCTATGCAAAAAGTTTGTATTTTTTATATTTTCTGGGTTATTTTTATACAAGCATATGTTATGTTGAAATAAAATATATCTTGTGGCCTTTGTATTTATTTGTATATGCCTCAGCAATTTTTACAATTCTATCCTTGAATCCAAGAAAATAGTATGTCATTTCAAATCTGAATTTTCCTTTTGAGATACCCAAAGAAAACCTGGGTAAAAGTCAGTATTTTAGTTATCTGACTATATTTCTTTGCCTTACCTCATTATACTCCAAAGTGCATCAGTATGGATTTGAATGTACAGCTTATGGGTGGCTTAGTTTATTTTATCCATTGCTAATTTCCTTGTGGAAATTTTAAAAAAAATATGTGTATGAAAATTTTTTTTCTGAATTTAGACTATTTCTTTGTAGTAGCAAGTTACTGTAACTACTTGCTAAAATGTTGTAAACCTGCCAGTGGATTTTAAACATTAAGCTTCCAACTTTAGTTAACTTTATTGTTACAAATAGATTATATGACTATCCTAAATATCTTATAATAACTTATTTTGCAGACAAGGCAGCTATCAAAAGTGTTAGGTAAATGGATGTTTATTAGTGTTAAACTAATAATAGAAATGTATTTACATATGTAAGAGGAAAATGGGTACCTGGGAATATTTCTTTCAGTTCAGTTTTATATTGGCACAGAGAAAAACAATTTTATTTCAGAGTAACATCAAGCTCCCTCGTAGGTGGTCACTGACAGCAGGGGGATTTGGTTTATAATCTCAGAGATGCAAAGTCATGGGATTGTATAGTTAGCAGAATACTATGTATTTTTGTTGTAAGTACCCTAAAATTACTCATGTATTGCAATTAAGGGAAATATTGTCAAGGGGAAATACTTGATGAGACCATCATTAATGTTTACATTTATAGTAAGATAACATTCTTTAGGTTTGGAGTTGCAGTTAGGTGCAGTATATCTGAAGACTTTACATGACAACACAGTTCACTGCCGTATACCAAATTAGCAATTTGTTTCATTATTAATCTTACATTGCTATGGTGCCATCTTAAGATAACTTACTGTAAGAATGAATAAGTGTGGGTGAAATGTTGCTGAGACTGCCTCACTTTGAATAAATGCTATGAAAATTATTTTTAACAGAATAAAAAATATATATTTTAAATTCACCCAGGGTTTAAATAGTTTCCCAAATATAATAGGACTTGATTTACTGTAAGCTTTTCTAATATCAATGTATTGCATGAATCAAAGTATACAAAACACAGATATTAGAATATAAATAAATGGTATGATTACATTATTAATGTCTAAATTATTCCTAATGCAGATTCTTTGGGGAATTGCACTTTATTTGGAATAAATTACCTACCTCACAGGGTTGTTGTGAGGGTTAAAATGTTAAAATATCAACTACCTTGAACATGCTAATAAAAGATATTTCTACCTCTGTAATATATATGAGGCATTCTCCAAGATTCTCTCTTACTTACAAACTGTTCGGAGCTTTGGGCTAGAGTAATTGCTCAGCGGTTAAGAGCACTGACTGCTCTTGCAGAGGACCTGGGTTCAATTCCCAGGACCCACATGGCATCTTGGAACAGTCCTTAACTCCAGTTATAGGGGAATCCGAAGCCCTCTTCTGATCTCCGCGGCATTGCACAACACAGGTGCACTCACACGCATGCAGGCAATACACTCATACACATAAAAATAAAATATTTTTTTAAAAACCAGAGCTTGCCGGGTGTGGTGGCGCACGCCTCTGTGGGAGGCAGAGGCAGGCGGATCTTTGTGAGTTCGAGACAAGTCTGGTCTACATAGTGAGTTCCAGGACAGCTGGGGCTACAAGGAGACCCTGTCTCAAAAAAGACAAAAAACAAATAAAAAAATAAAAAACCAGAGCTTTAAAATTTATTTAGGTAGTGTCTCACTAATGTGTAGTGGGAGTTAAATATGCTGTCTGGTCCCCCAAATGGTTGCCGTTGAAGAATAAGTCCTGTTATGGTACTATAGATGTTTGTAGTAAAACATGCCCTGTTGGCCAAACCGTTAATTAAAGTGAAAATGAATGAAATAAGCTCGATTATCTACAGAATGTAATAAGTAGAAATTTCTTTTAAACTCAAAATACCCTTTGAGAAATTAGAAAAACATGAAAAATAAAAAGTAATTCATATATTTCTATCAAAATACCACAAACCACCACTTAAGGAAGAAGAAATGATATATTTGGTTCTGTTTGTTGGGGGATGTCCTCCAACGTGGGCCAATCTTAGATTTATTCTTTGAAGTGGTTTTCACTTAGCTCCCCCTCTCCCCATGTATGTGTATGCACACGCACATGTTTGCATGTTTGTGGATGCACCTTATGTGAATACAGACTCATGGAGTCTGAAGCTGAAGGTGGGAACCTTCCTGGATGGCCTTCACTTTCCACTTCATTTACCGAGGCACTTCTCTCCTGAACCCTGGGGATCCCGGTTCTCTACACCCCTGCCTGGTTTTTGCATGAGTTCTGGGGCTCTGAACTGCTGTCCTAAATACTTTTGCAGCCAGCACTTGATCTACTGAGCCATCTCCCCAACCCCTCATTTATATACTGTTTGATTTGGTTTGCCATCTGAGTCATTAGATCTGATCCAATAAATTTGGAGAATTATGGTAAGGAAGGGATGAGTAAGTGAATCCAAAGTTTGGACAACTGCATATACAGATAACTATAATGTAAAAAGTTGTACATACTGAGCATATGGTTTAAAAAAATGATTAAAAATAATCGTAATTCAGTATAAGGCATAAGCTTGAGAAGTTTGTGTAGGGGGCTGGAGAGATGGCTCAGCGGTTATGAACACTGGCTGTTCTTGCAGAAGACCTGGGTTCAAATCCCAGCACTCAACATGGCAGCTAACAACTGTTCGTAACACCAGTTCCAGGGGATCCAACAGCCTCTTCTGTCCTCCACCAGCATTGCAGACATGGGTGCATTTACCTACATGCAGGCAATACACACATACACATAAAATAATAAAATATTTTTTTAAAAAGTTCATGTAAAGTGACTTCATTAGTACTAGTCAAAAGAAATAGAGTCTTCCTTTGTTAATGGCTAACATTTCAAATAAGTGCCAAATTCTCCTGTCCTCAAATAATACGGTTTTTAAAACTCATCTTAGATTTAGTCTCTATGGTGATGTTAATGACAGGTATTCTTGAAATGTGGGATTAGGTGCTCCTATAAATAGGTTTGAAGAAATGAATATGGCTCTTTTGCCCTTCTGGCTTCTACCACAGAAGGACACTCCTGGTGCCTTGATCTTGGGTTACCCAGCTTCCAGGACTGTAAGCAAATTTAAATTCTCCATTTTGAGGGGTTTGTTATAGGAGTACAGGCTAACCTGTCCTTTGACCTCTAATTGGGTCCCAGGGAAAGCATAACCTTTTCTCCCTCATGGAAGTTGAGGAGTAGAGATGTCTTTTGCTAGATGATTTGTTATAGTTGATGCCACTTGGGGACGTGTAGATTATATACCTTCAAATGAGCAATCACTCTGTAGTCAACTGTTTCCTCAGTAAGAGTTGTTCAGGGATTAAGACATGTTGCTAAAATGGAAATGTTGGGCAGATGTGGTAATGCATACTTGAAATCCCAGTGCTTGGGAGGCTGAGGGAGGAGGATTGTGAGTTTGAAGTCAGCTTGGGAGACACAGACACTATTTTAAAAAGCGTTTTTTTTGTTTTTGTTTTTGTTCATTTTAGCTTTGGAGTAAGAATTTGGGGAGAAAATTTGCTGTATAGAAAATCAAGGTAGACACTTGTACACTTGACTATAGCTTTATTATTTCTTTGTTGACTTGGAATTTTTGTTTCATTTTAAATTAAATAACAATATATAAACCAGGAAATATCAAACACATGAAGAGAAAAACAAAAATAATTCTTAACCCTCCAGCTCAGTATAATCATTGTTTTGTGTAGGTAAAGCTTTTCTAAAAGACCATGTGGCTGGGTAGAACTGAAGAGAACCAGGGGAGTAAGAGTTTGAAAGAATGTGGTCCTGGGGGCTGGCAGGATCGTGGTAGAGTTATTCAGGACGAGAAAACTCTTTAACTTTTTTAAAAAAATTATCGAGAATTTCATACATGCATATAAGGTGTTTTGATCAAATTCACGCACACTCCCTTCCCTCCAACTCCAGGGTGAGAGAACTCTTAAGAGGACAGTGGGAATTAGAAGCTAGCTGAAACTGGACATACAATTCAGTATCAGAGAATGGTCCTAGCATGTGTATGGCCCTGGGTTGCCCTGAGTCAGAATGGCTCAATGAGAATCCCCACTGACTAACTCTCAACTAAATTCATTTTAAAAATGATTGTGCGTGTGTTTGTGTGTGTGTATGTGTGTGCATGCATATGGGTGAAAGCCTTGCATCCCCTGGAGCTGAGGTTGCAGGTGGTTATAAGCCATCTGATGTGGGTGCTGGAAATCAAACTTTGGTCCTTTACAAGAAGGGCTGAGCCATCTCTCCAGTCCCTCAACTGCATTCGTGATGAGAGCAACTCAGAGTTGAAGTTGGAACTAACAGATATAGCTTGAATTATTGAAAGTATATTGTACATGATGTGAGTGTATATCCCGATGTAACTGCAGGAACCAGTAGGAGACAGGTGTTACTAAGGGAGAAATGTGTAAATGGGGATAGTAAAATGGGAAGGGGAGATGGAGGGATATACAATGGGGATAAAGGAGAAGAAGAACCTCAAGAGAGGTGGAACCATAGACAGGAATTATCAAGGGAGAACTGGGGAACATGGGGACACTAAATGGGGACAACGGGGCGGGAGGATAAGATGGAGAGAGAGAGAGAGAGAGAGAGAGAGAGAGAGAGAGAGAGAAATAATGCCTAAGTAGGATTTAAAAAAAAAACCAAAAGGACTCTTATTAGTCCAAAAACCTACTGAAAAATTACACATACAATATCTCCACATGACTCCATGTGTATAGCTGAAGGCTACATAACAAGAAAGAGTGAGAGTGCCAGACAGGAGAAACCCCAAAATTATTGCCACAGCCCTTGATTGCTCCCAGAAATTGAAGATAAGACCCTATTACTGTAGACAGGATATGCTTCAGACACAGTATTTGGAGCAATGGAGTTGGAACTGATCTGGAAGCCACCTCCCCTGAAGGCTAGTTCTCATAGCTTTGGAGAGCACTGCACAAATGTAAAGGAGAATGTCAATTGATGGTCCAACCCCAGCTTCAAGGCCTAAAAACCATATCAATGACCATCACAGCAAATGACATTGGTGCAGTAGTGGCACTTTTCTCTTAGGGGTAATCAATTGGACTAAAAGCCCACTCAGTGGGAGAAAATTCATATATGGTACTGTAAAACTAGCCAAATAGACATAGCTGGAGAGGTCATAGATGTCAGAGAAAACCCCAAGGCTGTCACATCCCTAGACAAATGTAATTTCTTATGTGCAAAATATGGATCCTTAAATTTACAGACAAGTATCCCAGTTGCCCATCAAAGAAATTTCTTTTTCAACAGAGATTATTACAGAGTTCCACAACTGGTCACACACAGAGATTTTCTGTGACTTTCCCAAGACTAACTGGCACATCTATGATGTAACCTCTGCACCTAAGGCTCATGGAACTTAGAACAAGGGATGAAGAGAACACTAATCATCTTTCAATTCTCATCAATGAAGTCCCTCATGCCACAGAGGACCAGGAACACAAATGGCCAAAATGTAGAGAATAAGGGTCTATAGAGTATGGGTCCTTGGACAGGACTCCTAACACTAAAAATCCACCCACCCAGGGCTCAGGGACAATGCGGAACAGGGGGTGGGAAGATTGTAAGAGCTAGGGAGGAGGTGCATGACCTTATGGAAATAGAGTCCTACAAGCTGCTGGGACCTTGCACATATGAACCTACAGCAATGGTGTCAGCATGCACAAGACCTATGAAAACTCAAGCAGACAAAACCCCAGCACAGAACTGTGGAAATGGACAGCAGGCCCCAATCTTAAGAATTATTGGCAGCTGATCACTACTGGGTGAGGAAGAGCTGAGCTTCTTAAAGGGAGGGACTCTAGCTAGGCCTCAATGGATGAGCTTGCACCAAGGCACATCTGGGGACACTAACTTGACATGATGGGAAGAGGCCAAGGTGGAAGGAGGTATAAAGATGATTAAGATGTTCTGTACAAAACACACACAAAAAATAAAAAATATTTAAAAATTTTTAAAAAGAAAATTAATAGAGGAAGTTAGGGATAGTAGGGTGGAGGTGGAAATGAGGGAGGACATCTGAATGTAATAGAAGTACATTGTATGAAATTCTCAAATATTCAATTTAAAAAATTAAAATGGGAAAAAGTTAAAGAACTTGAAAAGAAAGTCTATTGTACATGATATAAAATATA